GCAGATGCTCGTTTCACGTCACTTCGACGACCGAACAGACATGGGTGGTTGTCAAATTATGGTGCCTTTTGGGGTACCTTAAAGAATTTTGACAACCACCCACATGCAAAGCTCAATGGCTTCGCAAAGGTTTTAGGGTGTAGGGTGTCCTCTCTGGGCTAGCTTTCACACGGCGGGCTGTAATGCAGCAATGCAGCACTGGCCTGTTTTGGCACCAATAGGATATGATGGAAACATCCCTAAACCCTAAACCCTAAACCCTAAACCCTGAAACAGAAGCAGACTGCCAACCCCGTAAGCGAACCATACGCTGGCCAAGGGCAGCAGTCAGAAGGCTCCACCCTCAGGCCTAGCCACCCCAATACTCCTACTATAGAAGCCTGAACAACTACCGATAGGGTTCCTTAATACAAATCTGTTGTAAATATACTATAAGGAGCCCAAGACTCTATTCTAGTTACCAAAGACCTTCTTAATTCCGGGGAAGGAGTCGGTTTACTTCCGTGCTGCTGCTGTTTGTTCCCAGTTGTTTCTTGGCTTTTGCTGTGATCGCTCCTCGTTTTGGGTTGGCTTCAGGGTCTGTGGTGTGAGCCTTTATTACTAACCCTTAGCCTCAAAAGCCTTAAACCCCCAACTCTAAACCCTAAACCCGACATGTGTTGAAATCACTCGGAAACCGTCGGTCTCGGGATTTGGAACTTTAGGGGTGTAGGGGTTTAGGGTTTCGGGTCTCCTGCTTCTGTGTTTCGTTAGCTTCTACCTATAGTCTCCAGTGTAGTTCCTTTTTCTGGTTTAACCAAATATATATTTAGGATCCTATAAGGTAACCCCAAAAAGGAACTACAATGGAGACTATAGGTACCTTCCACATAGAGTATGAGGTGTGTGCGAACAATTACTAACACCATCTCTTCGAGCCTTTATGTGGGTAGGTCTCTAAATTCGGGTCCCTTTTGGGGTCCCCTAAACCCTAAACCCTAAACCCAGGGTGCCGTAGTAGATGAGCACCCAAAAGGGGACCTCAGCTTAGAGAACTACTCATGTAGATATACCTGGAACCGGGCCTGAGAAGGCACAGCGTTCTAGTTTAGGGTTTAGAGATAACGAGCTCTGGGACTTCTGAAGCATGCACTTCCATGTCTGAGGATTTAGGGTTTTAGGGCTTTGATTTAGGGCTCTAGGGTTCTAGGGCTTTGATTTAGGGCTTTAGGGTTTTAGGGCTTTGGTTTGGTGCTTTAGGGCTTCAGTGCTTCAGGGTTTTTCAGCGCATTTAGGGCTTTAGGGTTTTAGGGCTTCGGTTTAGGGCTTTAAGGTTTTAGGGCTTTGATTTAGGGCTTTAGGGCTTTACGGGTTTAATACTCGAGCCCTCAAAAGTCCAGAGATCTGGTATAAGCCCGAAACGTGGACCGGATATCCCCGTGATCGGGGTTAGGGCTTCGACTCACCCAAATGGGTAGTTCTTTAAATTAGGGTCCCTTATAGGGTCCTATTTACAAGAGTGCCGTACTATACTATATTGGGGAGCCAAAAGGGGATCCGAATTTGGAGAACTACCCACATACCATCGTAGACTGTGCTACTCTCTTGAACTCAACCCTGTTGCTGAGTGCTTTGGACCTGCCCATGTACCCGAAGTTCACCCTCCCCCGCCTTACCAGCCTTTCCAGCCGTGAGAGAGCTGACCCTCTTTAATGTGATGGCTGTGGTGTGCCAGCGTGATCCTGGCCGGACGTTCTCGGGCTGAGAGGTTGTATCAAGCCATCACATGCTCAAACCCAGAAGCCCTAATGTAGGGGCCCTAATAATTGGAATAAGGTTCTGGGGGCTCCTTGTTATAATTATTGTAGAATATACCCCAAAACCCTAGGCTAATCTTTAAGGCCCTTATATTACATCCCTACATCCCTAATCCCTCTAACCCGTAGGCTGTTGTCCCCGTCTCTGCACTCTGAGCACACCGCTCCATTCTGTGTGTCCGCTTCTCCCTGCAGTCTCGGGCCTAGCTCAACCACAAGATTTGGAACCGAATTTATAGGGCCTTAACAGTTAGAATGGGGTTTTGGTGCGTTCCTTTAAAGGGTTCTGTAAGGGCTACTATAAGGGTTCAGGGTATAGGGGCCTTAATGGGGTTTTGGGGGTTCCTTTAAAGGGTTTCTATACAGGTTTAGGGTATAGGGGCCTTAAATATTAGACTGGGGTTTTGAGGGTTCCTTTAAAGGGTTCCTTTAAAAGGTTCTAAAAGGGCTACTATATAAGGGGTTTAGGGTATAGGGGCCTTAATAATTAGAATGGGGTGTTGGGGGTATATTAAACTATAATTATAATAGGGAGCCCCAAAACCCTATTCTAATTATGAGGGCACCTACATGAAGTTATCCTATTGCCCGAATGTAGAAGGCTCTGAATGCTTACTTGGGGTTGGTGGGACATGGGGTTTAAGTTTACGGTTTAGGGGTCAGCTGAATCATGGGTATCCCGGAGTTTGAGCAAGATGTTTCGGTATTCGCGGTCGTTCTGTCTCGAAGTATGTTGTGTTGGTTAAGCAAGGGGCCAATTGTATTTTGAGGAGTTAGGACAAGCTTTTCTTAAGCAGAGGCTCGTACTGCGCAAACCCTAAACCCGTCGTTTAGAAGCCGGAATATAGGGTTTCTTGCTGCGTCTGTACTTTTATGTCCTCAAAACCCCATCCTAACCATTATGGCCCCTGTAAGGCTTTGCTTATAGCTTGAAGCTTTCCCCTCCCCCAACCCCTAAACCCTCAAACCCCTAAACCCCAAAACCTTAAACCCCTTCAGCTCCCAATCCCCTAAACCCCTACACCCAAAATCCCGTAATTCGCCCTTGAACCCTCAACCCGTAATCCCCTAAACCCCTAAGCCCTCAACTGGTTTAAGGTTTAGGGTTTAGGGTTTAGGGTTTAGGGTTTAGGGCTCAACACCCAAACCCAAAGGCTTTGAGTAAATCACAGGTCGCCCCCTGTGTCGCAAACGGCAGCCTTGTCCTTCGCCCGTCCTCCTTTAAAGGTTCCTCTTGGGGGCTCCTCAAAGGCTTCCTTTACAGGGCTCTTCTAGGGGGGGTACAGAGTTCAGGGTTTAGGGTTTAGGTTTTGGTTGTTTTTTTTCTTTACCGTTTTTTGGACCCTCATTGTCATGTCTGTTCTGTTTTCGTAGTTGACTAGTCTGACTAATCAAGTGGGCGCTTACTCTCAAGGGGTTGAGGGACAAGCTGGTCATATAAGGACCGGAAGAACGATTACCTGTCGACGATTTCGGCCCCGAGCCCTGCAACGCAAACCCTACGGGTTTAGGGTTTAGGGTTTAGGGAAGCACCCAAACTCTAAGCCTTTGAGCAACAATCGCAGGTTCTTGCTTTAGGCCTCTGGCTTCGGGAGAGGACTCCGATGGCAACTCCAATCGGAGGACGCTGCCGCAAATTGGCCATGAAAACATCGGCGAGGGTTGAAAGGTGTTTCTAAACCTTTAACCCTAAACCCTGAACCTTAAACCCTAAGCCCTAAACCTTAAACCCTAAACCCTGAACCTTACACCCTACAACCACTAAGCCCTAGAACCTTAAATGGTTTTCAGCTCTAAAGGTTTCAGGTTGTCCGGTTCGGGAAGTTACCGTAGGGATTTCTATAGGGGCCTCTATAATCACCTATATTGTTCTTTGGGGTTTAGGGTTTAGGTTCCTGATTATAACTCTAGTATGATATACCCTCAAAACCCTATTTTGATTAATAAAGCTACTACACCCTAAACCCTCATAGTAGCCCTTATGATAACCCTTTTTAATGAACCCCTTTAAAAGGAGCCGTGTTCTAATTATTAAGGCCCCTATATTTGTAGCTGGGCCTTGGTTGGAACCTAGCTGAAGTGAGCAGGCATACCGGGGTTTAGGGCTCAGAAAGACTGACACTCTTTTGCTCGTAGGGCTTATAAGGCTTACTGGGTACAGGGCTTAATTACTGGGATTCTATAGGGCTTACAGGGTTTATAAACTTCAGGGCTCATGGCTTTGGTGTTCTTGTGCTTACAGGGCTTTTGACAGGGACCACAGCTTCGTTTGCCTAAACCCTAAACCCACAGCTTCGTATGCGGGGCTGAAGGCTTCTGTCTCCCAGGAGCTCAAGGAGGATCCTGGTGAGCCTTGATCCTAGGTAGTACTAGGGAGACCCCTTAATTAAGGGGGATCCTTCTGAACCCCACTTCTGGCTCTCTTAAAAGGGGGTCCCCTAATCGTGACTCACACCTGAAATAATGTGTGGACCGCGACAGTTAACACTATCATCACCCTAAACCCTAAACCTCAATGTTATCCCTCACCCCAAAACCGTGTTCTGATGATCAAGGCCCCTACATTAGAGAAATGCTAGCATCGAAGCCCCAGTTGCATTCTCGTATGTAGGTCATACGGTTCCTACTAAACTTACGTAGCCATAGTTAGTAAGTTGCTGCTAGACTCAACCTTGATGGCTTGAAATTACCAATGCAGCCTTCGAACCTTGTAAACCTGTAGACTTGTCAGAGCGCCCATCCCTCAACAGCTTCTGACCCCGAGTTTTCCGGAGGCCTGCGCAAAATAGAAAGACCCACTGTTCCCTTATAGTCTCTCTGTGCTGCAATGTACCTTAAACCTTAAAACCCAAGACCCGAGAAGAGAAACTCTCAACTCCCAAATCCCAAAAACGCAACCGCCCGTTCCATAGCGCACGACGGTTTAGGGTTCAGGGTTCAGGGCACACGACCCTGGCCCTATAAATAGGTTATTGGCTGCACAGTCTACCCCCCCAAGCTCCTTATGTTGACCTGTCTTTGGCTAGCGGAGAACACCACCCAGACAACCAACACGACCGAGTTGATTGGATTGCTCAGGCTTAACTTGGACCTACTGGCTTGCGGTGTAGCTGCCAACGCCTCGAGTCAGGTGTAACAAAACCTCACAGCACCCTCTGAAGATTCAGAAGCAACCTGAAAAGCCTTCCCTCCCATTGGCAGGCCATGAAGGGGTCCAACAAAGACCAGGATGACTTGGATGCCTTGTTTACGGTGGACACGAAGGGGTCGTCGACCCATCGACCCCGGGTTCCAGCAGTTTGTTTTTGCTAAGTTAAGGTTGCCGGGCTTCGGCTGTAGTTTAGCGTTTTTTGCTTTAGGGTTTAGGGCCTAGTGTGTGTCCCTAAACCCTAAACCCTAAACCCCTAAACCCTAAACCCTAAACCCGTTATCGGGTGTTCGGCTTTGGGGCTTTAGTGTTGTCGTGGGCTTGTTCCCGGTTGTTTAGCCTCTCGGGATTTGTGACTTGTGGCTTCAGCGTACAAGGTCCTGGATACCAAGAAGTTGCAGGGTTTCTGGGGTTTTGAATTTAGGGTTTAGGGTTCAGGGTTTAGGGTTTAGGGTTTTGGGGTTTTGGATTCAGGGCTTCGGGTTCCAAGTAGGTCGAGCATGCATTTCTCCGAACCTGCGCGCCAGAGCGCTGTGGGCCATGACTCACCCGGAAGCGGCGGCTCATTCCGTTGATAGCGCCAGTCGCGGCTCTGCCCCCCCTGCAACTGCTAGAAAAGCAAGGCAGGCTCCGGCGGGCACTTCTGCAAGCGGCAGGTGCCTCCCGTGGCGGAAGGTCAACCCTAAACCCTAAACCCTAAACCCTAAACCCTAAAACCCTAAACCCTAAACCCTAAACCGGCTCAGGCGCCTGTTCCTGCGCCAAAGGCCGCATCGAGGATCAACCGCTGGAGGCAAAAGGCACACGGCGCTGCCACGGCACAAGGGTCGGACGGCGGCGTGATGCAATCGATCCATGGTTCATTTTAGGGTTTAGAGTTTAGGGTTTATAGGGTTTAGGGGGCGGCCCAAACCCCCAAACCCAAAAGCCCCTGAAAGACTGTAAGACATAGCTTCCTGAACCACCGGAAGGGTTTTTCTCGACGAATCTGACACGAAATGGTAAATCCAATTCCCATCGCCGCGAAACCTACCAGAAGGCTCTGACTAAAACCCTTGTCCAATGCTTTCGGGTTCTATGATAGCAGGTCGCTCTCCCTGAATCGGTGCTTCCTTTTCAGGGTCCAATTTGAAGGGTGCCCAAGAAGGGACCCTAACTTCGAAATTACCCATACAGCCACAAATAAGCAGCCTCCCCAAACCCTAAGCTTTTGGTTGTCAACCCTAAACCCTAATGACTAGGCTGGAAGCCTGCAAAACTGGGCCAGAACGCACCGAAGCAGCAAAGCTAATGCAGACCCCTGAGTTTTAAAAACGGAGTTATAATGTTTGTACTATAGCCTATGATGGAGGGGCTATGGCATGTGATATTCTTGCTTGTTGCCCTGAACCCTAAGGCCTAAACTCCTAAACACTAAACCCTAAACCCTAAACCCAACCGCCTGTTCCACAGTAGTTACTCTTCCTTGGTTGACCAGTTGTTTCCGGCTAGGATCCACCGCCAAAACCTGGTAAAGCCCCAACCCTGTCAAAAACCTACTTCCTTCAGCCCAAACATGCCCCAACTCTAAGTTGGGGTTTAGGGTTTGTGAGGGTTTAGGCTTTAGGGTTCTCAAACTCTAAACCCTAAACCCTAAACCCTAAACCCTAAATCCTAAACCCTAAACCCTAAACCCTAAACCCTAAACCCTAAACCCTAAACCTAAACCCACGGCCCTGCTACCCCAAACCACACAGCGCCCAGGTCCTGCGAAGGCCTCTCCCAGGCGCCAGATGCCTAGCACTTCCTCGGGTTCTAGGGTTTAGGGTTACGGTACTTAACGGATCATGGGACTTAGTAAGTAGGGTTATAATTAGGGTAACAATACTTATACCCTTCCAATTCAGGGACTTATAACCTTACTTACTAAGTCCCATGATCCTGCAAGTAGGGTCTAGACTGGTGCAGGGTTCGGGACTTAGGGTTCAGGGTTTAGTGTTTTTCGGGTTTAGGGGTTTAGGGTTTAGGGTGTAGGGTTTAGGGTTCGGGACTTAGGGTTCAGGGTTTAGGGTTTCTCGGGTTTAGGATTTGGGGGTTTGGGGTTTAGGGCGTAGGGTTTAGGGTTCGGGACTTAAGGTTCAGGGCATAGGATTTTTCGGGTTAAGGATTTCGGGGTTTAGGTTTAGGGTGTAGGTTTTAGGGTTCGGGACTTGGGGTTGAGGTTGCAGGCAGCCAAAGTGGCGAATGAGGGCACTTTTCCTATTCTGTTGCACTTGTGTCCGTCTCTTCGAATGTACAAGCGCAAAGATGGTGGTTTTGTGAATTCTCTGCAACTTTAGATTACATGTAGTTTCGCCAGGATACCGGACAGCAAGTAGCCATGTTCCTGTCGAGGACCCTAGCTCCATGTACCGTCATTGGCATACGTAGCAACAACAAGATGCATCTGCTTCTATGGCGATTTAACCTGGCTGTCTTTGCATCGAAAGGGTCCTAAGTTCTTGTATCGTCGAAAGTGGGTCTTCTATAGTAGGATTTTTTCTTTTCTGCTTTGGGTCCTTTTCATAGAGGTACTTGGGACCCTTTTGGGTGTTGAAACTCAGGTCACGCAAGGAGGTCGCACGTGCCAAGATCTTCAGAGAGCACTGGCGGCAATCAGTTTAGGGGATCTGGCTTTGGGTTGAAACGTTCAGGGTCTCAGCTCCAGCAAACGTCTTGGATGATCGATTCCGACCCACTGTACTATAGAGGCCTTAATAATTACCTATACTATCTTGGCGGCTCCTTATCATATTTATAGTATAATATGCCCCACAACCCTATTCTAATTATTAGGGCCCCTACGTTAGTTCGATTTCGGCGTGTATGGGTCATGGTTCAGGTCGAGGGTTCGGGGGAAGAGTTCTGAATCCTCTGTGCGGTGGCTTGATTTAGGGGTATCCCCAAGGAGTCCTAAATACCTTTATGGGTAGTTGTCAAAATTATGGTCCCTTTTGGGTTCCCCTAAATAATAGGTGCCGTATTATGCTAAGGACCCAAACAGGGACCATAATTTTGACAACCACCCATATGGGGGAGGATACTTCAGCCCAAAGTTTGGCAGGTAGGTACTTAGGCTCCTTGGGGTGTTTGGCTTTGTGTTTGCACGATAATCTCTGCGGAGAGTCATCGCACTTAAACCCTAAATCCTAAACCCCGTAACCCTAAACCCTAAACCCAAAAGCCCTAAGCCCTAAACCGTAATCCCTAGACCCAAGGAGAGCCCTGGGATGCAGTGAGATGAGGATTTTCCCACTAGCCTCTTCCTTTTGGGGTGGCAAGATCCACGTCGTTAATTTGGCAGCCGGAATAATTGCCAATTTTATGCTTTATGGCCCGTAATCATCTGAGATATTCAGATATTCATTTTTGTATTTATATTTTTGGATCTCTGTATATACACATGCATATGTACACACACACACACATACATCCGTCCATATTATGTTGCCGCGGTCAGGGGCGTTTTGCGCATCTTCGATCGCACGAGATTGCCTTGGAATTCATTTTTCAGGGTATGTGCAAGCTTCCATGGGTAGTTTTCAAATTAGGGCCTCTTTTAGGGTCCTTTTTTATAAGGGTGCCGTACTATATTGGGGAACTAAAAGGGGACCCGAATGTAGAGAACTACCCACATTCAGCCCTAAACCCTAAACCCTAAACCCTAAACCCTAAACCCTAGCCCTAAACCCTAAACCCTTATGATGTTGACTTGGTCTATGGCGGCCTTAGAGATGCTCCAGGCGGAGAACCAGAATGCGTTTTGGTGTGGGCTTTGGTGGTAGAAGCGCAAGAAGGGGCCCTAAAAAAACCTATGTGATTTCGGGGGATTCATAGTTATAGCTATAGTATATACCCCAAAACCCTGTTCATAGTTGTAGTATATATACCCCAAAACCTTGTTCCAATATTCAGCCCTGAGCCGAAAGGAATGCCCTCTTAGGAGCCCAATAGGTAAACTTTAAAATGTTTTGGGTATATTCAACCCCTACTAAAAGAAAAGTTTAAACATTTTTGGCCAGGGTACTGGGCTCTATAAACCCTAAACCCTAACCCTAACTTTTTTGGGCCAAGGTACTGGGCAGCTAAGCCTTAAAGGAGCTCTAGGAATCCTTCGATCCCAGGAGAAAGGGCCCGACCTGGGTCTGTCAGGCTTTGAGGAGGTGCAGGGCCCATACTTTTCAAGCAGGGTTTGGGGTTTAGGGTTTAGGGCTTAGGGTTTAGGGTTTAGGGTTTGGGGTTTAGGGTTTAGGGATTATATGGTTTGGGGTTTGTACGGTTTAGGGTTTGGTGTTTAGGGTTTAAGGTTTAGGGTTCAGGGTTTGATTAGGGTCTATAAGGTTTAGGGTTTAGTGTTTAGGGTGCAGGGTTCGGGGAGGTAGGGGTTTAGGGCTTAGGAGTTAGGGCAGTTAAGGTTGAGGGTTTAGGGTGCAGGGCCCATAGTTTAGGGTAGGGTTTGGATTTTCGGTGTAGGTTTCAGGCTTCAGGGTTGAGTAAGAAGATTGAACCATGAACTTTGTTGAGATTGGACACGTGAGACTCGAAATGATAGTATAGGAGCCTAGACAACTACAACATTTTTTCCTTAGGGTTCCTTGTTGTACTGCGTCATAATGCTGTACTGCGTCAAATTCTATTATACAGGAGCCCCGAACCCTGTTCTAATTATTCAGGCGCATATGTTAGATTTGTTTGTGGGTTGTTGTTGGATTTCAGGGTTTAGCAGTCAGGGGTTTAGGGTTGGGGGTGTTCAGGAATCGAGCCCTGGTATTCGAGCGTCTCATCATCCACTGTCCTCGTGCGTGTTTTCGGCGTTCCCGACAGTAGACAAGTTTGGGATACTACCCACTGATATGTAGCCCTAATGTAAAGAGCCCTCTCATGCACATGTGTTGTGTTGTCCTTTAGAGGTGACGGCTTAGGACCACCAGTGTTCGCTGACTGTTGCTGCCATCGATGGCTTAAGGACATGGGCTACCCCCTAAACCCTAAACCCCTAAACCCCTAAATCCTAAACCCTAAACCCCGAAACCTTAAACCCTAAACCCCTAAAACCCGAAACCTTAAACCCTAAACCCCGAAACCCTAAACCCCTAAACCCTAAACCCCGAAACCTTAAACCGTAAACCCCGAAACCTTACACCCTCAACCCTAAACCCCGAAACCCTAGACCTGCAGCGGTAGACGGTCCAAAGAGCCCAAGAAGCTAAGATCCGAAACCCCTAAACCCCAAATCCTGAATGGAGGTTTAGGGTTTAGGCTTTAGGGTTTAGGGTTTAGGGTTCAGGGGTTTAGGGGTTTAGGGTTTAGTGTTGAGGGTTTAGGGTTCAGGGTTTAGGGTTTAGGGTTTAGGGTAATCCTGAAAACCCTAAGCCCCAAAGCCCGCGGCAGCCTGACCGGTTTTCCGCAACCCCTACTCAGCCCTACTCGTAGTGCGGGGTCGAACCAACTCGTCATGATGCAGCCTTTAGTCCTGAATCTGTTTTTTTAGCAGAGTATGTCCCAACCTGAACCTGTCCGTTCCCGGCCCTTGACTTGCCCGTATAGTTGAGATCCCTTCAAGGGGCACTAAACCCTAAACCTTAATTCCTAAACCCTAAACCCTAAACCTAACTCCCTAAACCCTTTTTTCCCACAGATCCCTTGCCCAAATGGTCCCAAGTACGTACCTTTTTTGGGGGATACTTCCCAACCATAATGCTAATTCCCGCTGTAGAAGCCCTACTTTCTATGCAGGTACTTAGCACCGTTTGGTTTTGAAAAGACAACCAGGTTAAGTTACGAACATAGACATGCAAGGTCCTCAAAAAGTACTTAACGCTAAACCCCCAGACCGCTAAACCCCTAAACCCCGAAACCCCGAAACCCCTCAATCCCTGAATCCCGAAACCCGAAAACCCCTCAACCCCTAAACCCTAAATCCCTAAACCCCGAAACCCTAAACCCTAAACCCTAAACCCTAAACCCTGCTTACTAAGTCAAATCCCATGATCCTTTAAGCGGGGGAAGGCCAAAGTTGCCCGAGCCGCGCAGACCCTGGAGAACAGGCGCCTCGGCTCTTCTCGGGCATCGGATTCTGTTGCGTTTAGGGTTTAGGGTTTAGGGTTTAGGGTTTAGGGTTTAGGGTTTAGGGTTTAGTTTCGGATTTTTTGGGGTTTCGGGATTTTGGGGTTTCGGGATTGAGGGGTCTGGGGTTTTAGGGTTTTGAGGCTTCGGGATTTTGGGGTTTCAGGATTTTGGGTTTAGGGTTTTGAGGGTTTAGGTTTTGGGTTTAGGGATCTAGGGTGTGGGGTTTAGGGGTTTTGAGGGTTTGGGTTTTGGGATTTAGGGTGTGGGGTTTAGGGTTTTGAGGGTTTAGGTTTTAGGTTTAGGGATTTAGGGTGTGGGGTTTAGGGTTTTGAGGGTTTGGGTTTTTGGGTTTAGTGATTTAGGGTGTGGGGTTTAGGGTTTCGAGGGTTTGGGTTTTTGGGTTTAGGGCTTTGGGCTTTAGGGTTTAGGGGCTGAAGGTTCTATCTGGGATAGGGCTTCTCTGAACGGGTTCAGGGTTGAGGAGTTACCCATAGGCCCCATAAAAATTCCTTTTTGGAGTTACCTTATAGGGTTCTATATATGAACCCCAAAAAGGAACTACTTTAGGGCCTATGGGTAGGGGGCAAGGTGTGAAGAGACGTAGTTCGGAGGTTTTGGGGCTATCTTGAGTGCTCAAAGACTTTAGCAACTTCAGGTCCCAACTGCACAACATAGTCATATGCTACTGTTGATGATGATGATGATGATGATGATGATGATGATATATATATATATATATAAGTCCTGCTTTAGGAAATTTGTGGTATATCCCTTACGATGGGTAATGCAGGATTTAGATCATCCACCGTATGACTACTCTCCGAAACACAAGCCTACATTCCTACTTCCCTGAACCCTAAACCCTAAACCCTGAACAAGTC